GATCACCATATACAAAACCTAAGAATTAGCTTGGACATGGTAGAAGAACATCCATGGAGTGCTAAGGAAAAATCAACTAATTAATTGTGCATAAAATTACAAATATCATTCTATATAGTTACAAACCTCATATTAAATTACACATTAAACATTTCGAATTGAAGAACGAAAGAATATCTTTTCACACAAACTATGGAGAAGAACAACCAAATCAATTTAAGATTGATTTTCCTCGAATATGGGATACTCTTGTGCCGATGGTGATCTTGTAGCTGAGGCCAACGGCGATGGCTCACTGCCCTGAGGTAAGTCAGAGATGGCAGCCAGCATCCGGCGAATGCTAACAGAACGAGCAGGCTTGAAGCTGAGTGATCTCTTCTTCTTGTCGTCGGAGAAAATGTTGGATGACTTGGAAAGGATGAGATAAACGAGCGCTTGAACAACCACAAACATGACAATCTTCATCAAAACATCTTCAAATAGTATATCTGGACTCATTTTTTTTTCAAGTGTTTAAGAAAAGGGTGTGTTTGCAAAGTTGAGGGGGATATATATGCAGCAGGAATGAGGGATTTGAATGCAGAAACAATGTGTGGGAGAGATGTGCCATTTATATAGGTGAAAGTTAGGAAGGAAGGGGGAAGAAGCCGCCACTTTGACCTGTGTGGCTGCATATAGAAGCTTGGAATGAGTAAATTGATCACACGAAAAGGTTGAATTGGATAAAAGTTTGGTATTTTTGTAACTGAGTGTGTTATGGACGGATGTAGCGGCGGTGCTTATTGCGCCAGTTAAATATGTTAAGGTTATTAATATTTTAATTTTTAAAATTATTTAAAATATTAATTCATTAATTTTAATTTATTAATTAATTATTAATAATAAATAAATAAATAAAATTAATATTTTTAAAGTTAATATTTTGTAATTTAAATAATCTTATTATTTTTATTAATATTTTTGTTGATGGTCCTACCCATTTCTATTGTCTACCATTCTACCATTCCAGGAGAGGAAAAGATATTGGTCATTATGCGTCACGTTAATTACGTGCTTCATCAAGGAAGCTACGAACATATCCAATATATGGACTTGTCAAGAGACCGGGTCATAGGATTAAGTGGATGACTTCAAACCAGTTAATTGACGGTTAGAACTCCATCATGCGGCCTGATGGGTGTCGCGCCTCAATGAGGAGAGAGGAAGATCATCTGTTTTGAGAATCAAATATCTAGTTGCTAACAATTTATAACCTAACTATTAACTATTACCCTTATTAAAAAAAAAAAGTTAATTGACTGTTAAATTAATTTAATAATAATATTTTCATGCTGAAATGTTAGGTTTGGTGGGGAAAATGTATTTAAAATACGCACCTGAATGTACCAATAGATTTTTTTTTTAAACTAATTTTTTTAGTATTTGATAATCATATTAAATTTTTATTAATTCAAAATTGAGTAACGTCGAATGTCATTAGGAGAAGTTCTTCCAATTTTTGTTTCTTCATTCATAATATTCAAATTCAATATCTTATTTAAAAAGAATCGAATCCTTTTTACTTAAACCAAGTCATTAAGATATCATTAGACTTTTGATGTTAAGGTAATGTTCTATAACAATAATTTAAGTTTTTAGGCACATGATTAATCAGTTGGTCTTCCAAATAATGATTTAAATTAACAAAACTTGAGAATGATATTGTTTTTTTTATTTATTTTCTTATAAATATTTATAATAAAAAAAATACTTTTAATATACGTTAACTAACACAAGTTAAAATAACCTAAAAACTGAAAGAAGGGGGAAAGAGCAGCGAATTGAAGATAATGGACATGGGGCTGCGCTGGCCATGACAATGCATTCCCAATCTAATCCATGTCATTTACGTTACGTCTGTCAGGGTCCCATGGTCCACCCAAGCCGACAGCCGACATAGCCCTCCTTTTTTCTTTTCTTTTCTTTTTTTTTTTTTTGTGTTATAGGTTTCTAACCCAGTCTCTTAACGGGCCACAACCATCAGGCCTAACCCAGTAACCTACAATATACATCAGGGCTTTAATTTAGTCTTCCGTTCCGTTGCATTTAAGCCCAGCCCAGACCATCTCGTCCAATCACCTTCCCCCATCCCATTCCCATTTCTTTATTTCGTCCAAGCACTTTAACGGCCCGATTTCTTGAAAATGAAAGCAAACCGGACTTCCATTTTTCAAACATAGCGTGCGGGAAATGGCACCTTCACACTGAAAATCCCGAAGCCCAGATCACAAAAAGCTTCCTTCTTTGATTTTGATTATATTATTAAGCACAACCCCACAAATTTTTTTCTTACCCTTTAATTTATTTCCCGACATGCAAGGTGTATGCATACATGTCAGTATTTGCAGATGCGATCCAAATCTTTGACTCTTTTTGTTCAAGTTGTGGATCTTTTCTGGGTCCGAAATTAATCTGGGACACGCAATTTGCGGGGACAGCTTTAACGGGTATTTCTCCACGTTAACAGGTTAGTTTGTCTGAAAATGATGCAATTATTGGTAGGTTAGTTTGTCTGAAAATGATGCAATTATTGGTAGTTTGAGAGGGATTGGTTTTAGATTCAATATTTCATGCAATGGGGTGGGAATTCTCGTTTCATCTGCGTGTTACAGTTATTCGGTCGGTTGTACTGTTTAGAATCCCTTTTCGATCTTGAAATCTCTTTTTGCTCATCCGGGGATTGGAGCTCTGGTGAGTTTTTTTCTCTTTTTTATGTAAAGTTGCTTGATTTATGGATTTGAGCTTAAAATTTCATCTGGGTGTTGCTGTTTTTAATTGGATTTTGATGAATTGATTTTGATTGGGTGATGTTGATTTGAAATGGGTTTTGTGTTCTGTGAATGGTTTGATGATTAAGCTCGCTTTTGTTTTTCTTCTTTACCTGGAAAAATGCTTGTAATTTGTGAATGCACTGGTTGTATTTTTATGGAGACTGGGGTGAAAATAAAAGGGGTTTACATGTTGAAGAATATGCATTGTTCTAATGCTTGATTACCCGGTGAGTGGTGACTGCTTCTTTTGGGCAGTTTTAGTTGTGTGATCTCAGTGCTAACACTAATACTACCATATTGTTCCCCAATTCTATAAAAAATAAAAATAAAAATAAAAAAGAAGGAAAAGAAATTTTCTTATTATTTTCTCCCCTTTTTTAGTTTTTCCTGCAAATTGTAAGTTTTCTGCTTCTGATATTCCAATTGACAACTGTACAGATGTTGGAGAGTGAGACAATTGCAGAAAAGCTTGGGAGATAGACTTCTAGTTAGGAGATAGAGCGTAGGGTGTTCTATACACTTGATATTTGAGTGAAGACTATGGTGCCTGGAGCCATTATCTGCAAGGAAGCAATTGCAATTGAACCTCGAATCGAATTTGTGGATTATGACATGTCAACTTCAAATGTGGAGTTAAGGAGTTCCCCGTTCAGAAAAATTGCCACTGGTCTAGGTGGAAATCTTGGAACAAATTCAAACAATGATGTCCAAGAGTTACTCGAGTGTCCTGTTTGCATGAATTTAATGTATCCTCCAATTTATCAGGTATGTTCTTCGCATATCAAAAATCAACAATCAGATAAGGGAGAAAGATATTAGATTATTAGGGATATGCATTCTCTTTGGGAACTATGTACTTGTTCATAAAAGAAGCAGGAATTTCTTTCTTTTTATTCTCCTCTGCATTACTCTTCAGTAAAACCTCTTTCTTTTTCTCCTTGCCTTACCAGCTCTCACAAGTTTTCAGCCATTTGTGATATTTTGTCATCAATTAGTATGTTCAAAACATAGATCGTTGGCTATATAGAGATTGGATATCTTCTTTAGTTGTGCACCAGATAGATTAGTGTTGGACAACCTGAAATGGTAGATAAGGGACATGCTTGCACTTCATTTTTCCCTTGTTGTATTTGGGGTCAAAATTATCTCTTCTAAATGTCTGGAAGTCCTAGAAAATGGAAATGCTTATTCATTGCACTACATGCTTATTACCCTCCTTGTGGTATTATTGTTGCAGTAGGCAATGAAGTTTCATTCCATCTTCTCCAATTATGATGGTTGCTCTTATTTCTAATACTGCATCAGATATACAGCAATCATGTGATAGAATTCTTTGTGGAACCTTCCTGTACTGACTACTCTTAAAATTTTCCATGCCAGTGTCCAAATGGCCACACCCTATGTTCAACGTGCAAAGCCAGAGTACACAACTCTTGCCCAACTTGCCGCCATGAGCTTGGAAACATAAGGTGTTTGGCCCTGGAGAAAATAGCTGAGTCACTGGAACTTCCTTGCAAATACCAGATTCAAGGTTGCAATGACATCTTTCCATACTACAGCAAGCTCAAGCATGAGAAAAACTGCAAATATCGGCCGTACAGTTGCCCATATGCTGGAGCAGAATGTCCTGTCACTGGTGATATCCCATTTCTTGTTTCACATCTCAAGAATGACCACAAGGTTGACATGCATGAGGGGTCTAGTTTCAACCACAGATATGTCAAATCCAATCCCCAAGAAGTTGAAAATGCTATCTGGATGCTAACGGTAAGAGCTCTCTCTCTACCATTTCAACAAATTTTTACTGTTGCAACCATCTATTAACTTCTAACATTGTATGTCTTCTTATGAGGAACTGAATTGGAACCTTTCAACTTGTTTGATACATTTGTGATTACTAATGGAATATGTACTGCTTTTCCCCGCATGTTTTGAAAAATCTAAAACGTATTTGTTAGATTTGATTCTGTTCTATGATCCATACTGAGCTACTTAAGGCAAAAGGCTGAAACAAACCACACTTCTCTGATCTGATGCAGGTTTTCAATTGTTTTGGCCGACAATTCTGTTTACACTTTGAGGCTTTTCACCTAGGGACGGCACCTGTTTACATGGCCTTCTTGCGCTTCATGGGTGACGAAGATGAGGCAAGGCAATTCAGCTATAGTCTAGAAGTAGGTGGGAATGGCAGAAAGCTTATGTGGCAAGGAATCCCTAGAAGCATCCGTGATAGCCATAAAAAAATTCGAGACAGTCAAGATGGACTGATAATTCAAAGGAACTTGGCACTCTTCTTCTCAGGTGGTGATAGGCAGGAGCTGAAGTTGAAAGTAGCAGGCCGTATTTGGAAAGAACAGTGAGATAATCAAGATACAATAGCTATTATACCTTTGTTAAAAAGTGTACCAGAAAGTAGTTTAAAGCTGGTTGGAAATTCATGCATTTCTCTGTAAATTTTGTAGATAAAGATGGTTTGTGGGACAACTTCTATTTGCAAGGAATTGATATTTAGTCCTATTAAACACCTGGATTCTGAAACTACCCCTTTATTTTTTGGAATTTATTAAAATAATAATAATAATAGTAATAATAATAATCTCATTTGTAGAAGAACGGCGCCGTTTAAAGGAGTTTCATCGTAAACCCTAAACCCCTTCTGCCTCTTCTTCACATGACCATTTTGGTTGTCAGTGACAGGTATAGTTTGTTAGTTTGAGTAATCGGCCTTCTCTTTTTCTTAGTTTTGCTGATTAGTTACATTAAATAAATGTTGCATTTTGCCGTATGCCTCTATCTCAGCTGTCTACTTTTTGTTAGTCCTGTTCTTCTTAAATGGTACTTCCAGAAGCACTGTGGCTTATGGTTCAGTTCCTTAGCTTCTAGCATCCCGCTAAGTTTATAGAATGTCAAGTTTAGGCTGTTTAGCAACTAGCAAATTGATCAATGGTTCAGCTTGGGAAAGGGCTTATGCTGACATTGTTGACATATCGTCCTTCAACCTCTACTCCACCTACACCTCTGCTCCCCAACCCACGAAAGTAGAAGAAACCTTCTCATTTACTTCCAAATTTGAAAGTCATTGGGTGAACTATAGATATATTTCAGTTTGCTATTTTCCTTTTTCAACGTCAGTGCAATGTTTGGTGTTTATGTCCCCAAACTGCTCAGATGAATATTTTCTTTAATTGTTTTTGTCACATTTGCTTATTGTGGATTAATGCACATGCTGATACCTTTTGAATTGATTATTGCTTTAACCACCAATTGGTGAGAAACATATTAAAGAGCTTGGAAAATTGGTGAGAAAGGAATTTCATGTTTCAGGTGGTAGTTGGGATTTAAGCTTCGCAGATATTTTGCTGGTGCTGGCCTTGGTTGCTTAGCTCTTGGACTTAAAGGAGAGGCGGTGTTAGGTGTTTGGACCTATGAGGGAGTTAATGCTTTCCTTTGTAATCATCTGATTTCTTAGGGCACAGATTTTTGAATGTTATTAGTGTTATGCAGATATCTTCTACTACATTACAGCACCACAATCAAAGTTCTAGCTGTTGAGTTTAATGCCGTTGCCCCCCAATCCTCGCCAATTCAACATATAGTCATTAGCTTTTATTACTTTTCATTTTATATTTTACCATTGTAAATAGATTTGCTTAGGAGATTTCATTCATTTGGCTACTCTTGTTTTGTACATAAATACTGTCGCTTTTCAGTCATGAATATGTGGAAAACATACATTTTCTCATTGAAGAAGCAGGATTTACAGTCTCAAAAATTGTTTCCAAGGCTGACCAAGACGTGGACAAGTCCCTCCAAAAAAGTCCAAAGAAGAGGAAACAAAGTGAGAGGGAAACAGCTACATCCGCGGAATCATTGTTGCCAGTAACTGATTTTTCCCCAAGTTCTTGCTAAGGCTGTTAAGAATGGTAGGAGGAAAATATAGCACCAAAAACTTGCTTGATGAAAAAGAAAGTTAGTTGGCATTGGTTTATTATGCCAATACTATTGCACCTTTTCCTGGCAGGAAATGACATCCAAGGGATTTCTCTGTCATGGAATCGTTTATTCCTCCAATGGGCTTAACTGAAAGGGATGTGTATAAAGATGCAACAGGATCCTGCATTTTTTTCTTTAAAAAAAGAAAAAAAAAAACTTTAAAATTGATCCTTAAATAAAATTTTGATTTTTACTACATTGAAATTTATTTATTTATTTTCTCTACTAGGTAAACTATTCATTCACGCCAGGAATGCAAGACCTGATTATTAGGTCACTAGGCCATTGGTTTGTTGAATTAGTATTTGCTTAAAAGTGTATTTTTAACTCTTTTTTTCTTTATATATAGCGCAGGAGAGGGATTCAAACTCATCTGTGTAGACTGTAGTTAAAAGTAATATTAATTCTCTATGATTCCATATTGTGTTATGTTATTCACACAGAGATGACTAAGTTGAAACGATCAATTGTCTTAGCTGTTGTTTCATCTTCTTGGACTGGAAAAAAGGAGAAAAAGATCAATGCAAGCATGGAGGATTGTTACGTTAGCTCCAGTCAGATTCCTCAACAGTCAAGGACAGAGCCACAGAAGACAGAACCACCTATTTAAAGCTAGTGGTCCTTCATTATTCTGATTGATTGAAATAGTAATATCCTACCATTCCTACCTACCATCCAACATTTTTATTAGAACAAAAAGAAAAAAAAAGGGATGCAGAACGATGCTCTTTTATTTCTTTACTTATATTACTTGCATATCTTATAATTTGATCTCATAACAATCTGTTATAATCTGTTACTCCCTAGTTTATATTTTGGAAAGTTCAAACCACTGATGGTGATGGTGCATTGCATGGTTCACATTAGCTGCTCTTGCCTTCTGCATGTAAATGTTCCAGTCTATATGGTTTTTTTTTTTTCTTTTCGTTTTTAAGGTTAATGAATTATCTACCCCCATTATTTTCTTGAAAATTTTATACATTGACTTCTTAGAATGGTAGTTGTACCAAACTCTTAGCTGCATTATTTTCTTTATGATCTCGTGAGTTCTTCGATAAAAGATCATTCTCTCTTATTTCTTTATTGATTACAATAATTAACATATTGTATTACTTGAATTTAGAAATATTGAAAAAACTAATATTGTTCAAATCATTTGACTAAATAGGGAGACAATGAAAATGTAGTAATATTAGGTTAACCGTGAATTTTGGTAGTTAACTTTAAGATTTTGCATAATTTTTATCACAGAATTTTTTTATGTACTTTTTGTATTTATAAACTATGAAAAATATATTATTTTAATTATTTTATTAATTAATTTGTTAAATTTATCTAAATATATATTTTTAATTTATTAAGTTACAATAAATGCATATTTTTAGTACTTTTAAGTCATAAGACAAAAAATATGTATATTTAAACATGTTTAATATATTAACTAACGAAAATAAAAAAATATATATATATTTTATAGTCTATGAACAAAAAAATACATAAAACAACTGAAAAATGAAAATTATGCAAAAATCTTCAAATTATGGGACTAAAATCGATATTTAACTCTAATATTATGTCTCTCAAAAACTTCATTAATAATAATAACCAGGTGTAGAAGAATGCTGCAGACAACGATGCAGCCTTCCATCCCAGGTGAACATTTCCTCTTGGGTATTATTGTATTATAAAGGACGATAACAAGAAAGGATAAAATCAGAAATGCAAAAGACAGTTCTGAATTTTTAACCGACTACATAATGACTATTAGATATTCCCCAGTCCCCACTTCTAAAATTACTACTAGTAGTTACGTTTTGCTGTTTTTTATTCTTATTTTTGTTATTTTTAGTAACCATTATAAATAGATTTCTTATA